CCGCGCCCGGGCGCTGCCCCTGACTTCTCCTTCCCCAGGAGCCTCGTTAACGGGACCTTCTCCGAAGTCAAGGACAGGATGTTTTCGCACTTGCCCTCCCTGCAGCTGCTGTAAGTACCACTCTGGCTCCGCAGCGCTCTGCCCCTGCATGGGCATCCTGAGGGCACCCACGAGGCACGGAGCTTGCGGGCTGCTCAGAGCTGCTTCTTGGTGACCGAGGCATGGGTGGGCTGTGTCGCCTGCTGAGGACACACACCTTTCCTTGTGCAGGGAGGACAGGCTGCCCTCTGCTCTGGCAAGTTCTGATTCGAGGCACAGATTTCTGAAGTTCGGGCAGAGCTTTCTTCACTTGTTCTGCTCATGATCCTCTCACGCCAGCGACACTCGCATTCACCTTGGGCATCTGCTGAGGCGACGGCAGGGAGCCTGAGCCAGCAGGAGATCAAGCGTCCGCGCGTGAAGCGCCCGTGCTCTACAAGCTAAAATGAGCCTCAGGCAGGAGTGTGGAGGCCCGTGGTAGGGTGATGGGCAGCCGCTCTGCAGCGCCCACGTCCCCTTTGGGTCCCACAGGCCTGTGCTTCTCCCTTGTGGGAGCACCATCTCATGGGAAGCATGGGGAGAAGGAAGCGGAGCCGGTGTAGAGGCTTCCCCTGCTTTAGCTGAGCGCTGAGCAACACAGGCTGGGACTTGGGTGTTTTGGGGATGAGAAGATGTCTTGGAGACAACCAACCAAGTCACTGGTTATCTCCAACCACCTCATTTCTAAACACAGTTGTCCTGAGGTAGCATGTGGGGAAGTCGCCTTTACCATTGCGCTGGTATGTTTTCTGACGTGAGAAACCTTCTCCAACCTTCCGTAGGTAAAGAGCTTACCCAAGAGAAGAAAGACCGGGGGTCTCCAGCCCCCTTTCCATGGAAGCATGGGTCAGGCCCGAGATCGGAGTGTTTTCTTAGGATGCCTGCTCTGGTCTCCTTGGGGAAACAGAGGATGTCCCGAGAGTGTCTGGTCATCAACTAAGCCCCAAGGGAAGGTTTTGCTGGAGCTCAGGCCAGCACGGTGCCCTGTGGGAGCCAGTGGGAGTTCTGGTGGGACTTTGCCCACCAGAAATGTGAGGAGGAGCAGACCTGTGTCATCTCGATGAATCCTGGAGTTGCCTGAGAGAAAGTGTGGGTGGAAGATAGCAAATTAGGGAATTCTTTTAGATAGTGATAGTGTGAAAAGTTGCAGAAGGTCCTTCATTTTCATTAGATATACTGGGTTTCCAGGAAGAAAAGTTGGGTTGGAAAAAGTGCGGAAAGGCAGAAGCTACGCGTCTATGTAGTAGATGAGATGTGGGAGCAAGGTAGGGTTCTAACCCCACCAGCAGCTTGGGCCCTGATGGGTTTTGTTTGTTAGCATGGTTGTTAAGTTTGCATGAGAAAAGGAATGATTAAGTTACAGAAGAAATAAATGCTGAGCCAAGCACTTCCATACACCAGGAGTCTATCTGCTGCAGGAGCAGCCATGATAAAGCAGTAACGCAAGGATTTATTTTTGATTGCAGAATCTTTCTCAGATTTCTTTGGGATAATTTAAGGAGCATTTGCCTAGTATTAGTATAATGACCAGGATCACAGGGAAAGTTTGCATTTCATGTTCATTAGTTCTAAGTTAATTTTAGTAAAATGCCTAAAGCCCTACAAAAAGAGGATTAGTAAGTGACTACAGTATGGCACTTCATACGACTTAGTCGCTTGCAGCTGAAAATTTGGGTGAGATTGTGTAGAAATGACTTGTGTTGAGTAGGGTTTGATTTTCAGGCTGAGTAAGAAGTTCAGCAGTTTTCTTAAAGTGAGGTAGCAGTTTTTGCCTTTGAACACAAATATTGGAGCTGGCTTACCTTTGTTCTTTGATGGAGCAGAGAAAAGCTTTGCTGGCAGAAAAGGAGCTTAGCTTCTTTCTCCTGGGCCTTGTCAAGGCTCTGACAGCAGCTGCTCCCGCGCAGTTTTTCCCTGAAGATGTGGAGCAAGGCAAGGCAGCCCCTGGAGCAGACACCAGGAGTGCCACAGTATTTCATGCGCGCTGCAAGGACAGGACGACGTGGGCTTGGGTCACTAAGATTAGTCCAGTCATGGTCAATAAACACAACTGGCGGAATCCAGGGTGTCAGGTTTTAATGTGCTTTCCTAACACCTGCTCTCTATTTTCAGCTTGCTGAACTCTAACTCCTTCACTGTTATCCGAGATGATGCCTTTGCCGGTCTCTTCCACCTTGAGTACTTGTAAGTTTGGTATTTTATGATTCCCCTGTCCTTTGTAAATCAAGATGTTTTGATAAGTTGCTTAGACTCCTGGCTTGGAGAAATAGTCCTTACTGTAATTACGAGGAGGATCAGAAAGAGAGGATTTATATTCTATTTCTGTGCAAATGTCCTTTATGGTTGCCTACCATTTTTTCTTTTTTTAGAGGTTGCAGTGGATTTTTTAAAAATATGCCATGAATGCAAGGTGGCTCTGAGTAATTACAGTGCACTGAGAAACTCCTGCTGAGCAAGAGCTCGTCCTGGATTTGCAGAACAGTGTCATCATGGTCAAGGAGTTTTGAGTCTCAGGAAAGAGCTACTGAAACCTCTTCTGCCCGTCGTCACCCCGAAGAGGAGTTGCAGTGTCTGTCCTGCCCAGAGCCACCCTGGTTGCCAGACTCGTTCTCTTTCCCCACCTTTCCTCTCCAACTTCCCCTTTGTTCTAATATCCCATTGAATGCCCGTGGCATTTATCTTTATTAGTATAAATAATTATGAATATATGAATATATAAACATATATTTCATATAATGTAAAATATTGTAATTATTTATATTCTTATTTATATTCTTATTTAAATTTATTTAACTTTCTTCTTCTTAACTTAGTTCGCTTCTTCATTGTTTTTTACATTACTTTCATTTCCCAATTTTTTTTTTTAGGTCACCCTTTTTTCTTTTAAAAAAAAGTATTAGCCCTGGTCCCAGGCTGTCCTCACTTCATACTCCAAAGGACTGCCATTTCTCTGTGTTACCGGAAATGAGCTGGTATGTTTTGAAACTCTCAATGTGATCTGCAAAAGATTAATCTTTCCACCCATCTTTCCGTGCTGAAAGGTAACTGTGGAAAAGTTTGTCTTCTCTAGGAAGAGCTATGTTCATAAAACTGCCTCTTGCTAAAGTCTTACAGGAAAGTAGGTGTGAAGATGAGGTATATCCAAGACTAATGCTCTGTGAGGAGTAGCCAACAATAGGATTAACAGACCAAGAAGTGGCTTGTGGTTAACGGTATAGGCTGAAATACGTGATTAAGCTACACCTGGATTTCTCAACATTTCTCATTCATTAACATTTATTAGCAACACTTATCTAATCATCCTTTTCTCCATGTGTCTACCTGTGAAAACAGTAATTTGCAGAATGTTTGAAAGAGGAAAAAACCCTGCCTATATTCTGATGTTGTTTCAGTACTGACTTGCTTAAGCTTTCAGGTACTCGGGAGCCTCACATGGAGCTTGTTACAGCAGTGTATGCTCTTCTGAGAGGCACACGGGTAACTGTAGCCAGAGCCATGTCCCCAAGAAAAACACCCTGCCCCTGCTCAGCTGATCACAGGGAAAATTTCTGCCTCGGCAGCTAATTGCAAACTGGGGAAAAGGGTTAAGGCTGATCAAAACCTTACAGTTTCAGTCTCCTTTGGTAACAGCCAAACAAGTGCTCTCAGTTTATGGTTGTTGTCGTTCTCCCTGCCAAAGCCACAAAGTACTGCCTCTTGCCAGCAAATTTGACCTCCGACATTTGGGAGCCCAAAGCAAGCAGCCTTATTTCTTTCTTGCCTTTCTTTTTCTCTTTTATCTTTTTTCCCCCTCCCCATGGGGAGC